CCCTAGTGAGGATTAAGCAGTGTATAGATAATGGATGGATGGACTTGGAAACAGTAGGAGAGAGTGCGACCATATGTTATAGAGGTCAGATATTGTAGTTGCTCACCCGGAAACTGTGCTAGTTGTACAGATTGTAGGTGTCTCCTGGTTGAAGACGTGTTTGAAAAATTCATGTTTTAGAATTTGTAGCTTTTTTTGCAGCTCCATCCTCATTTCCAGCGTTGTCTGCTGTCATGTTTACCACTTTGTCTGTGAACACACTCAGGAATTTGACTTTGTTTTTCTCAACCAATGTGCACGCTTGAAAACTGCATATATAATTTGAGTCTGGACGGACACGGATGACAGAGGCGTACAAACACGAGGTGGTAATTCTGGTCTATTGAAGTGTTTTCGTGGGACTCAGCTCTGTTGTGTGTCAAGCGACGTCTTCTGGATTATGTAAGAGACTGTTTCATGTGTTATATAGAGTAGAGGCTATTTTTTGAGTTTTAATTTGCCTAAATGATGCTATAAGAATATGTTTTCTCTACCAGTAACACTGCTGTGATCGAGCTAAGACAACAGAAGTCCTCTTCTCGCTGCCTTCACTTCCGTTTTCCCTCACGGGGTTTTGCATCAAAATGTTTTTCCCCTCATTTTCAGAGGAAACATTAACTATCCCACCATCTCTGCCTCCGTCCGAGCGCATAATGATTCGGTCCAGGATTATATTTTCACATCCTATTTCCTCCACCGCATCTGCTGTGAGCAATCAGCCACAACAATGGCCACACCGGATACTGTTGCCTATATACTGTGTCAGAGCCGCAAAAAGAGCCTCGCAGATGGAAGGCCCTTATTACATCTGCTTCCCCACACATCGATGATGCAGCACACATGGCCCCACGCTGCTGGAGAGTTCCTGATTTTACTGGTTCGCCTCGTTTTATTGTTTACAGCGAGTTTAAAAGCGTAATCAGCTGTGAAACTTTAAGTTTAATGAACATAGGCAGCGCATCTGGAGGCCTCTAGCCGACCGTGGTAGCTCCTAAAACTTAATTATCACTTGTCATTTGATCCATATGCACAGATTTGAAGCGTGATATTAAAGGAGTTTTGCAACTTTGCTGTTGGTTTGTGTTCCTGATTTCACCCTTGAATGTAATTCAGAACTCATCGTTGTCAAATCAAGCACGCAGTTGAACATATTGTGAATTTAGCTGTTGAATACATTTACAGCCTTTTTTTATCAGTTCACTCACACATTGATAATGTGTGGTAATGGTTTTAAACAGGAAGAAAGATGAAGATAAATGTCTTGTGCATTCATTCACAAGACATTATCAGCAGTGATAAACTTTATTATCATGTATGACTCCTCACTGTTTGATTTTGGCCCACTGCTCATCAGCAAAGTGCTCTAATTTGTCCGGGACTGTTTTTTAAAATTATTACTATTATTATTTTTTCAACCACAATTGAAAAGCAATGTCTTATTTCACTAAATCATAATTTAGCAAATTTTTATTTATTATTACTTTTTTCAGTTTCTGGTTATTTGAGTGACTATTGTGAATTTTGCCTTTTCTTTAATGGAAGGGTCTGAATGCATTTGATGACGACTGTAATAGACGCTACATTTTACCCGTGTTCCATAAACGCCCCACATGCTTCAGTAGAGGACGCTAGGCGGCTGTGCACAGAGAAGCCTCTAGTCCCCTCTGAGCTCCTGCAGCTGACACTGCTCAGTCAGATGTGTGGCCAAAAAGTAGTTGGAAAACAGTGACATAAGGTTCTCTAATGCATCCTCAGCTGAAAGGGAGTGATTTTTTTCTGCCCGTGCGGCTGCTAAGTGGCTCGACAACGCGACTTGTGAAAATGTTTGGTCACACTTGAAAGACTTTTGGTCACATGTGAAACCAAAATTGAGGAGGCCTGGTTAGTTTGTTATGTTCCGGTTTATTCTACCGGGCTGCCAGCGGAGAGAAAACCCAGAGTTTTAACAGTCGACCTGAGTGATTTAGACTTTTTATGTTATTTTTTAAGACAGTAATCTGTGACGGTGTTTGATTATGATATGACTTTGGAAAAACTACTATATTTTAAGGGTTTAAATGTATTTAGCATACATGAAAACATTATTCCAGTTCATAACCGTTGCAGGCATCTGTTTGAGGAGGTGGGCGGCCACATCGATGATTAATATGAACGTGGACGTGATGGCGTGTTTATGCAACGGTTTAAACACATGAGAACACACAGACATGCACACGACTATGCTTTTTGTCTAAATGGAATAGCGAGGACTATCTTAGGGAGTGACTTCGATCTAAATATGGAGTCGTGGAGTTTTTCCAGGTTTCTTTCTTCTACAATTTATGGATGCAAACAGTTTTCTGTTCCAGATCACACACAGGGCTTTTGTGACCATTTTCTTACACATAAAATAAAAAATGGCGGCACTTCTAAACAAGATTAGATGCTGGAAGTCATTCACATAATGAGTCTCTAAGCTCTTATACCAGAGCTGCCTTTGTAACTTTTGTTCCAGTCTTCTGCTAAGCTTCGACCTTTTGGGTTTGTTTGTACCCTGTTTCCCTGCATGTCATTGAAAGCTTCCTGTTTTGTATCTACGGTTACAGTTCGACCAGCTGCAGTGTTTATGGAGCAGGAGTGAGCTAATCCAAACATCTCGTCTCTCGCACACACTTTCTGGAAAACGGGCCGTAAACACATTGTTGAACGCTACCGTGCGGCCTCAGTGTTGCTTCATGTGTTTGATGCTGGCTGCTATTCTAACTAAGATTCACGCCAACAAGCGAAATTTATTGTCTTGGTGGTAAATCAAGCCACATCGTGAATAGCAGCATCTTGAACCTGGGAGTGGTGCACTTGAGAGGCTGATATTAGAGGATAGATTATATCTTGCACATGGATGGTTTGTGTGTTCGAACGAAGATTTTGGCCTCGTAGTAGGATCATAAAAATCTCTCCCTCCTGACCACAACTGGCTTCTGTTTCTGTGTCGTGGTTAAATGTGGCTTAATGCTGCTCTGTCAGATAGTCAGAATCAGTTTTGATTTCTTGATCTGACCCAAAAGCCCTGCTATCACACACACACCACCTTCACTTTCAGTCGTTCTTAGTTTTATATATATATATATATATATTATTTACATTGTAGGAGCTGTCTTTAGCTTACAACTGAAAAGCTCTCATTGGAGGGACATAGTCGCTCAATGTCAGCATGTTTAGCTGATTCTGTGTTTTACTCTGCGCCTACTTGAGGAAGAACTTGCCTTGTTTTTGCCTTAAAATGATCCATAATGTAACAAGAGCTTAGTCAGTCATGTAACACAGGTATTTTGCATGAAGGGAAAGCATTTTGCTGTAATTTACTCCTACGACTAAGCACCTAAGAGTTATGACCTTGAGCTTGACCTTAACCTTTAGTCCAAGGTCAAATGTTGCATCACCAATATGGGTTCCAATCTGATCATAATAAAAAAATAACTGTTTATCTGACACCTTTTCCAAGTTGTAATGTATTTAAAATTTGTGATGATATACGACCTTCAGTGTGACCTTGACCTTTGTCTCAAGGTCATATGTTACATCACCAGTTTATAGGCCTCTTCCTAAGTTAATTTACTAAATGTATGTCTTTTTGTGCATTTTCAGTTATACAGAGCTTTTTGGGAAATGTGACCTTTGACCTCTGTGGTGGTCACCAATGCATGTACTGATCCCAAAATCTAATCACTCTGAGAAGGTACCACACCGAGGTCATGAATGAAGTTTCAGGCTCAAACTCCTCTCCTGGAAAGCGCTAGACTGTTTACAGACAAACAGACAGACAAAAAAACACACACACAAACAAACACGTCATCAATGGGCAACTAAAATAACAAAAAGTATCACAAAATGGTTTCCTCATAATGTAAACATCTTGTCTTCTCTCAGGTTCTCAATGCCCAGAAAGCCGGCTACAAGGCGGCCATCGTTCACAATGTGGACTCCGACGACCTGATCAGCATGGGATCCAACGATGGTAAGTTCCTGCCCCTCACCGCCACCTGTACACCAACACGTTGGGCAGTTTTACAGTCTGAGGCACATTTCAAGTTTCAAGATGTTCCTGAGGAAGGTAGCGGTGCGCTACAGGGAGGTAGCGCTCCCTGTCCATGAATCCATACCATCCCAGCTCCAGCCGAGCTCTGTGAAGCAACAGTGTCAGTAGCTTCACTTGCTGCAGATACATGAATTATCCAGAAGACCTCCTACCCTCGTTACTTTTTTAAAAAAGGAGGAAATTTCACAACCGACCGACTTGGTAATGCCACTTGTCTGGAGTTATCTCCCTGTCACTTTAGGTCCCTAAATATGGAGTTATATTTGTGCCACAATCCTGACCGCGTAATGGGAAATTTTGAGCAAATAAAAGCTTATCGTAAGCAAACAAAAATCTGTTCTGTGCTCAAAAAAAAAAAAAAAAAAAACTCACCAAAACCACGATATTAATCGCACCACTCCAGTTTATTTCATTGTCACTTTTTACAGCGTTTCCGAGAGGCGGCCGAAATAGCCACCTGATTGGATAGGGTCCGCCACCCTGTGCAAGGCTGTGATTGGATGTGTAGTTGAGCGCACAGAGTGGAGATCTGTGAGAGCGGGAATGACAAAACCGAGCGCAAGACGGCGTGATCGTACGTGTATGTTGATAGTTGCAAAGTAATAGTTTTGAGCCAGAACAGATTTTCATTTGCTCAGATGAAGTTTTTATTTGCTCAAAATTTTTTTCTGCGCTCAAAATTTCCCATTACGCGCTCAGGATTGTGGCACAAATAGAATTCCATACCTAAAGGCGTCAGTATGCGTCAACCCAAGTGTTGCTCAGGTGATCAAACCGTCCTTCACTCTTTTCCAACATCAGAATTAGCAGAGCTGCGTTTGACAGACTCTCAGTCACTCATTGTTTTCTTTTTTCATTCTGCATGCGACTGCTTGGTTATTTTTGTCCGTAACAATCAAAGGCAACGTAATAAATGCCTCAAAGGAGAGACTGATTAAAATGGATTGACGCAATTCAATTTCACAAGATGTCATTTGTTTCCGCCAAATGTTTTTCCTAATGATTATTTCAATTCTGATTACTTTCTGGAGTGGCTGCATATTTATTTGAATAAAAATGCCGACAGTCCACAGTCTCCCTGACCCCGAGACGACATTTTCCGAACGCTCGTTTTGACTGACCAATGATCCAAAACCCATATGTGACAGAAAGACCAAGCAAAACTGTAAATATGCCCACTTACGAAGACGGAACCAGTTATTATGGGGATGTTTTTGCCTAAAGACAATTGAACAAGTACACATTTTTCAAAATAGCTGCAGACTGCACCTCCAGTATCCGCTCTAGTTCGACTGCTTTTCATGATCTTTATCAGTTAGTGGTGTTTAATAGTTGAACCAAACAAAGTGGAAAAAATCAGTAGTTGTACTGATCTAATGATATCAGATAATGAAAGCTGGGAAATGTTGTTAAAGCCCGAAAAAGGTTCGAGTTCAACTGATTTAGCATCTTCTCCTGTAAAACCTGTTACTTTATTGTGTTGTGTTAAATAAAAAACAACTTACACGCCGTAATTACATTCATAAGAAGTTGTTATTGTGGGACAGGGAGCACATATTTCATGCATTCTCTCGATTGGTATGTGCAAGAAGAAGTGCTTTATCTTTCAGGGAGAGCTCATGTTGACTAGTACCTGCTTTATCCATATTTGGTGCATTTGTTGCAACAAAGTCCAATTCTTCTCCATCTTTTCTAGTAACAATGTGGACTTGTTTTGTCTCCTCTGTGGCTGTAAAGAAATAATCTTCTTTCCAACCTCACTTGTTGAGTCCTTCCTTCTGGTTAGCTCCTAAATGCTCCATTTATTTTTTCTAGAAATTAAAATGGCCCACTTCTGTGAAACTTGCACTGGGTCCCAATGCAGCCCTCTAAAGTGGATTTAACTGGATGTGATATTAGCTGCAAATAAGTCTCACTTTGTCTGTGAACATCTGAACGTTTCACGACTGCTCAATGAAATCGTGTGTTGTTAATAGCTGAAGAAGAAAGCCATTGTCTTTTATTGTGATGGTCAAAGACCCCTGAATTCATTCCCTGTTGCCATGTGTTTTCCCATCACCTTTTGTCATGTGTTCCACCCCCTGTTGTTCATTGTCCCCCCTTATCTCCTGCCATTTGATTAGCAACTGTATGTTAATTTACCTCTATTCACCTCTGTATTTACATACAGGCCCCCCTTACCCTCTGACTTACAGTATAAATGTGTGACTCTGCAGATGTTCAGGGTCGGTCCACCTTCACAGACTCATGCTCTGTGTTGGTGAGCCCACCGTATACCGGAATACTAATAAACACCCACTACAGCAAACTTCACATGAGGACTATGAGTAAAATTTCTTCAACATAGCTCACACGATATATTCATATTCTTTTTCCTTTTTAGTGGATGTTATGAAGCAGATCGTGATTCCCTCGGTGTTCATCAGCGAGGAGACTGCCAACTCTCTGAAAGACGACTACATGTATGACAAGGGGTGAGTCTAAACCCAAATCTCTCTTCTTCTTTTTTTTTTAGTTTCTGCCCGACAGTATAAATAGAAACCGTTTCCTGCTCTGCTCTTCTTATGCTGCTCTCTTCACAGTTCTTCCTTTCAACATGAAGATCTCATTCATCACTCACAATTGTCTTTGCTTCCAGCTCTGACTTTAATTTATTGCTATTGGACGGTAATACCTGTAACCTACTCTGTGATATGCTGAGGAGAGGATTCGTCTTGTTGCCGTTGCTGCTGCTGTGATAGTTTGGTAGTAAAGCGATGCAGGTTCAGGGGTCGGCGAATTAAAACCAGCCGATGTTTGTGTGTGTTGGCGTGTGTCAGAAACCATCCTGGGGTTTGTTCCCACATTTTTTGCAGCCTGAGGAATGAACACCAAACATGGCATTGGCAGAGTTTTGTCAATGTGGACCAGTTTAGCCGTTAAACATTTGACTGGAGCGCAGATAGTTTGCTCTAGAGGGAGTTCTTAGTGAACACTGTGAAATGTCATTATGTTGAAACCTTTATGTGACTGTCACACTGCAATTATTCAAACAGAACAACACCAAAGGAAATATCCTTAATGTGGTGGCTAACGACAGCGAGCCCTATAAAAGTGCTGCCTCTGTGTAGGTCACTGTCACTCACTGGCTTTATAATATCTGCCTGTGCAAAAGGTTAATGTGCACCATGTGTCTCGCACCTAACGGCGCTGTGCTCGCTCCTCCAGGGGGCACGTGGTCCTCATGCCAGACTTCAGCCTGCCGCTGGAGTACTACCTGATCCCCTTCCTCATCATCGTGGGAATCTGCCTCATCCTCATCGTTGTGTTCATGGTACGTACATTCGAGGGGCGTCGGTCTAAATTTAAAGAACTTCCTGCCGTTGTGCGATGCTGCAGGTGGTAATTAAAGTCAAAGGAAGGAATCAGACGCAGAGTCAGCCGCGGGCAGCCGACAATCAGCGTCAGTAGGTCTGTTAATGGCTCTGCAAAATGCCAAATTACCTTCAGTGACACCTGAAAAACTAGACATTACGGTAACGCATTTCACATCCGTCTGGGTCACATTAATAGCTGTATTTTTACCGACGTGCCATTATGTTGTGTAACAGTGGGATGTGGGCGGCGTAGCGCTACCTGGACGAAAAGCGTGGCTCGATCAGCCCTGGCTGGGGCGCCACGGTGAGGGTGTGTGTGACGCTGAAAGACCCGGAAATATCGCTGTTGTGTCCACATGTATGAACATGACATACTAAGAGATAGCCTGCAATTCAAAGGAGAAGTAAAAGAAGCTGATGGAAGTTGTGTTGCTGAGTGTGCTCACGTCTGCTGACTAAAGACATCCAGACGGTTTTAACCTCTCTCTCTCCTAAAGAACACATTCAAACATTTTCATGTTCCCTCAAAGTTGAAGAAGTTCCCTAAGTTCCTTATTTAAAGACAAATAGTAATTTATCTTCTGTTAGCTTGAGAAGATTCCTCCTAAGCCTGGTATTAAATGATCTTTGCCTCTTGAGCACTGTTGACCACTCCCTGTAAAATTAAGTCTTCATGACATTATTGAGCGTACAGTTGGCTCCTCGCCGACTACCAGACGTCACCCTGTAACCGTTAGTGTTGTTACAGGAGCGTGTCGAGGTCTGGCCTCCAGTATGGCCTCCAAACATGGCACTTCTCCAAACGTTAACAGTAGACACAGACCTCATGGGTCAAAATGTCTGTTTTTAGTTCCTATTCCAAAGATTTTGACAGTTTTCTTTTTTTTTCTCTCCCCACTACGACCAGATCACCAAGTTCGTCCAGGATCGGCACAGGGCTCGAAGGAGCCGCTTGCGCAAAGATCAGCTGAAGAAACTTCCCATCCACAAGTACAAGAAAGGTAGGGGAAGCGTCTGAAGCATGTCAGCGGGTAGCGACTGCAACAAAATGAAATGTCAGTGATTTCTAGCATTATCCGTCATGCTTCCAGCTGTAAATCTGGAGGATGTTCAAACAGTTAAAGTTACCTCACTGTCTGTGTGTAGTGTGCATTGATGAGTTCAACAGATGTGGCCACGCTTGTGCACATCTGCAAAATCTTGGTGGTCCTGGACGCCTGAAAATCAACAGGGATACAAAAGAAAAGTACCTGCACGCTAGAGTCAGAGCTCTGCTAAATATTTATTAGCACAGCTTTGTCTCAGGAAACTTTTCCACCACGATACTGGGAGCTATTTTGGTGTTGACATGACAAAAAGCCTTCAGGAAATCTGGTTTTGTGTGCCAAACCTTTACACTCCTCATCACCAGGGTCGTCCCGTTTCCGTTAAAACAACCCTAACTCTAACCTTTGACCATAAGAGGCAACACTGCCGCTATTTACTCCTCTTCTGCGCTGGTTTTTCTTCTCCCATGACCGAGCCAAGAACAGAGATGTCATCAATGCGTTTCGACACATCACTCCTCCCTGGAGCTCTGCACCTTGAGCTAATCGGATTAATATGGACTTGATTTTTCCTCCAAAGCCCACCGTGGCAGATTAGAGCTCCTCTTTGTTGAGACTGGACACATGACTGATGCTTTGGAATGTGGTCTTGGTCATGCTGGAGGACCGGCTGGGCCAAAAATGAAATGTATTTTGGTTTTTACCTCAACCCTACTGGGCAGATGCACATTACTGTAGGGGGAGGAGAAAAGGGAGGAAATGTGATTGGAAATAGAAAAATCTCTGCTGTATCTTGTGTGTGTGTGTGAGAAGCAGTTCACTCAAAACTTCTGGAGCTTTCTGGTTTTTTTTTTAGAAAAAAGTTCCAACTCCCCTTCTGTCTGAGTCCAAGGGTCAGACTGGCTATAGCATTGTTTTGAAATGCAAATCCTCTTTGTGCTACGGTCAAATAAGTTTGTCTCTGTACTTAGAGGTTTGTCGTGCCAGCTGCGTTTCCTCCGGCAGCTGTATTTCACAGACTGGAAAGCCCCTGACTGCAGTCAGCTGTGCCGGGGGACACCGGGGAGCTTTGTAGAGAATGGGTGGTGCATATTAAGTATCCCCCTTGCAAAGCTGCTAATTGAGGGGGCTGTGAGTCGGGCCGCTCCTCCCCGCCTGGCGGAACCACGCGCACGTGTCGGCACACAGGCTAAAAGCGGCGTGTGTTGCTAGGATGGCTGTTTCTGTCACGTCAGGATGTGCGGTTTGTGCACTCTCATGGCTGCGTGTGCAATCAGCGGCGGCCACTCTGACTCAGGGTTTCCACCAGGCACCGCTACAGTCAACCTTGACCGCTGCAGGGAGTTCAGATGTCCAGGAAACGGCGTCGGCGCTCCTGTCAGCTGAGTCAGAACGTTTGGCGACACAGGAAGGGGACACCAAATCTCTACCTAATCACCTTTTAAGCCCTGCACTCTGGAGCAATGCTAGCTTGGCGAGGGACCAAGTGCCCTGGTTTGAGCATGGGAGGGCTGCAGCAGCGGGACAGCGCCTCTGTGGTCTAATGCGGTGTGTTGTTATTCAGCGGTTACTCCAGGTGAGAGGTAGACCTCTGATGACAGGACTTGGCCTCGCTGAACTTTTGTAGTCCCTGCAGTGTAGCTTGTTTTTGATATTTTTGTGTGTGCGGGCACTTAAAGGGAAAGTTTACTGAAGTCTTGAGCTGCAGATATGAACAGAGTTGTATAATTAAACCTTCTGTGTCCGAGGAGGGGGCTGTGTGAAGTTTAATAAACTGCCTCAAGTGATGACAGTTGAGGTTGATGTCAGTTGTAGTCGGAAAGGAGTGAGCGCATGAGCTCTCCACAGCCTGTTCTTTCATCTTTCCTTCAGAGTCACGACTAAAAGCTGCGTTAAGGTTGGATTATGCTTTCTGTACGAACGTGACGTATGGAATCAGCACAAGAGAACATGTGTGGCATTTATACTGGCATCTGTTCCCAAACTGCAGGGGGCAGTGTGTCACAAACGCACCCATACCACAGTACTAAATTGGAGTAGAAGAAGTTTGGCATCGTTTACATCGTTTACAACCATAGACTGTATAAAAGATGGATGTAGCTACCGTGATGTCACCCGTTGGTTTCTGCGTTGAGAAAATGAAGCCAGGGTTTTGCTACTTCCTGGTTGACATCTTGGATTTTTGGAGCCAGTGACGCAAGAAACATCGGAGCCATAGGAGCAGCGATTGGTCAGACGGATTGAGAGGCGGGCCCTCTCTGCCCGCCCACATTTACCGCCTTCTGCTGGCTTCCTCTGTATCGTCGCTGCCGACTGTCAATCAAGCCAGCCACGCCCCTTGCCCCACAAAATGTTGACGATTTTTTAAAAATTCAGTATTGATTTATTTTCAGATTGGCCACCTGATCTCTAGATTTGACTATGAAAACTAATAAGAAAAAATCCTGAGCTGTAGGAATGCAGTATTTTGTGATCTGTGATCACTTATTTTCCAATTCCAGTCTATGGGAGCCAGGGCTTTGTGGAGCCAGCAGCTAGCGGACAGAGTGATATTGCAGGTTTTTGACACTTCCGGGTTGGCTTCATTTTTCAGGGCCGGTTTCTACGTCCATCTTTTATACAGTCTATGTTTACAACATGGTGACACGCGCTCATAGTTTACACAAGGTTGCAGTAAGTACACTGGATTTAGCACAAGGCTAAATTCCATCTGTTTTTAGCAGTTTTGTTTTCGGTTCTGACATAATTATCAGTAGATTCACCTCATCTGGAGGGAAACTTGAGTCAGTTTCCCTGAGAGCCAGCTCAACTCTCTTATCCTAGGGACATTTTTGGCTTCCCCCTGGGTCCAGACTTCGCCCTTTGGTGCTATTTTTTATATTTTTTTTTGCCTTAACTTATCTGTCCCGTAGGTTTTTCCAGGTTTTCTTCACCCATTCCTCTTCTTTGGCGAGTGTGGCCGCAATATCACGCCACGAGTTGTTCATCACTCGGTTATCACGGTGATCCCTGTGTGAGGAATCCTATAAATGCCTGTATTTTTTAACTTCTGCCACTAGGAGCTCCTGTTCGTCCGCCATGTTTTCCACGCGTCTCCATCTGCATTGTCAGAAATTTTCCACTTGAAAAGGACCGCCTGAGGGGGCGTGGCTACGAAAATGACATAACTTGTTCGCACGGAGCCGCGCGGACCTCGCTTACACACCAAGCATAAACCAGGCTTTAGCCGCCACCAGCACATCACATCTGAACTGAGGTTGCTGACTCAACTGGGGACAAAGAGGAAGAGCATGCAGAAGAAATAATACACAGTTAGGCAATGTCTGTTTGATAATAATTTTCATACTTATTTCAAAACCCTGCACTGTGAGGAGCAGGATGCTACATCTGTAAATAACTTTGCCCGTATAACCGTCTGAACTCCATCAGTTTCCAGGTGTTTTCTTCCTCCTGTCACATTTTTCACTGCATTATAAAGTCCTGCACCTCAATGGAAACAGAACAACTATGGCTCGAAGAAGAGAAAACTCAAATTAATTTTCTCCACAAATTATAACAAAGTTGAACTTCTTTGCTCTATTTTACAAAAATTTAAAATTAAAAAATGGAATCAACCTGTGCAATCTCAAGCGCCCTCATGTGTTACTAATCCTGACATCATTATCTAGTTACATTTTATGTTTCCATACTTGTCTCCTCTCTGTTCTGTGTATACGCAGCCTGCAGTTCAGCCGAAACATCCCCGTCACACAACTGCTGGTCGCAGCTTAGTCACTAATGGCCTCATGGTTTAACATTATTGCCACAATTCTGATGAAACATCACGATTTCAAGCTCAGATTTAGTCAAGGCACATCACAGGTGATTAGTTCAAGGACTGGCGGAAAGTAAAAAGTCCGACGACTTCTGTTTTGTTTTGTTTATTTGTACCTATGATAAATTGTGTAACTTTAGAGATTTTTGTTTCGTTTTTAAGATAAGACGCCTTTCAAACTGTCAGATTTTGGGGTTTAGAAGGTTAACAAAGCTTGGAATACGTGGTCTTGTGCTCACAAAAAAATATAACCCAGTCTTGTTATAGATCTGTTTAGTATCACAAAAGCTCACCAGACTCAGATTATGTTTTTTTTTCCAAAGCTCTATGTTGTGACACACGAGGAACTTTTAGCTGTGGCTCTGCTTTGGGACGGTTTCGTGCCACACAAGACATTTCGATGCTCAAAAACTTGCTGCTGCTCCAGTTCCCATCCTGAAGTTTTGGGCACTGTGCCTGAACTCGGGGTGCATCGCTGTGTGTGTGTGTGTGTGTGTGTGTGTGTGTGTGTGTGTGTGTGTGCAGCACAGAGTGGGAAAGATGCCTAATGGTGCCCTTGGCCTCAGTCGCTGCAGATAATGCTGAGCTCGGACTCTGGGGGCTTTGAACAGATGCAGCCGTAGTGAACACACACTGTGATGCTGTGTTGATTCCAAAGCCGTCGTGTGTTACCTGCCACACGAGTCTGCAGTAAAGGTCCGAGTGTGTTTGTGTTTTTTTTTTCCATATATATTTTTCATTTCAGTTAAAAATTGCAGATTAGGTCAACACGTTCTTGCGTGAAAGCCATTCTCCTGAAACTGCAGTTCCTACACCGGCCACTAGGTACTGACTTTATCTTGAAAGATAGAGTCAACACATTATGGTCTCAATTTTACTTAAAAAAAAAAAAAGGTTGTCCTGGTTCATTTGAGAGGTATTAAGGTCTAGTATGTTTTGGGTCATGTTTTCATCTCTCAGCTGCAGTAGTTGCCAAGATGGCAGCGGTCAAAAATCATGTGTCACAACTCCCCCCCCCCAAGAAACCAGCAAGTGGCATTTGCAATCTATTTTTCCAAAGCCTCTGCACTGTGTTAGCGTGAATCATCGGCCCGGAGAGTTTATAAATGCAACATGGTGTGAAGTCATTTTTGGGGGAAGATGCTTGCCAGCCAATCAGCCGCAGCCTCGACCGCTGCTGCTGCGCTGGCAGGATGCCTTTCTGCTGATGAGAGTATCTGCCCACCATCTACCTTCTCTGGCCGCCGAGCCTGCATCTGTCTCATCACCTCGTCAAACACGTCGGTTTTACTGAGTTGTTTATCGCGCCGTTTTATTTCATGCTGCGGCTCTTGTTAAACGTGTATTAAATTTTTTGTTTTTCTGTTCGCTTCTGGTGGCGCTGGTGTAGCCAGAGGTCGCGATGTCCGACAGCAGCCGGTCATGTATGGGAGTCAACAGGCTGAAATAAACGGGCGACAACACAAAGAGAGTCTGTATGCATAGCGCACAATGCCTTAATAAAACACCACGGTGCCCATGTAATTGGTGCACAATACCAGTCAGAGGCGCAGCATGCAACGTAAGATCTGTGTCAATGCACGGGGTTATGTAATACCAGCTGCCACGACTGTCAGCGTACAGCACCGCTCTGCCATTAACTTGACTTATGCTCCGGTTCTATTGCAGAACCTTGCGTCATCCCTACTTAGGCCGTAAGCCTTTCGCGCCTGACAGTGAGTTTTGGCCCTTTGGACGGCGAGTTTCGCCAGTAGCCGGCGAAGTCACAAACTGCGAACACACACACACACACACACACACACACACACGGCAGAGCGGATTGTTTTTAACCCTCAGTTCAGACCGAGAGATCCTGGCCTCTCCCTGCGACCCCTGACCTCCAAGCCTGCTCCCTCCCTGCGTGTGATGAGTCACTGCGCCCCTCCCTGCAGCTTTCTGAAGCGAAGGCGGGGAGCACAGAGCAGCTGCAGTGTCTCGGCCGTCGGTGTGTGAAGCATGTTGATGGCAGCACAGAGGAGCCCTCTCTGTCTCCTCGGCCACAGTCGCCCTCGTCTCGTTGGCCCGACCCAACTGTGTAGATGCTTCTTTTCTTTCTTTTCGACTTTTTTTTTTGTTTGTTTTTTGTCACCGCGTCTTCCTCACGCTCGCTCGCTCACCCAGTCTAGCTCTGCTACACACATTCACTGCTCATCTGAAGTTCAGTAGGACAGCGTGGTTCCTTTGAGAGCCAGGAATGCTGGCAGGGCTGCTTGATTAATGAAAAATAGAGGGGAGAGGAGCTGCACCGGCTCCCAAAGCCTTCTAACATGTGCTACTGGCCCCAAAACGTAAAATGTAAGGGATTCCCAGCTTCTGAAATGCTGCCAAACATGAACTAGATATATTTGGAGCGGCCTCGAATAATATCTTTTACCACCGAACTTCAAAGCTGAGTCAACTCAGACGATGTTCAGGCTTGATGAGGGATCGTCACAATGAAGACACTCATGAATCCCAGCTCACATGTGCAGGTTACAGTATTGGTGATTCCTGGAAGAAGAGTCTAGAAATAAGGAGCGAGTAATGTCCGTAACGGTGTCTTTGATCAGAGGGCGGTAGTTTGTCCTGTGACTGGACCAGACTGTGAATTATGTTCTGCTGCAGAGCGCTGCGCTGGATTTCTCACTGTGCAGAGCTTCAGTGGACATTTATCAATTTTGTCAAAGTGTTACAGTGCTTTTGAATTAAATTCCCCCAAAAATAAATTAAAAAAAAAAATCTTCAAAGGTGTCAGCATCCATCTAAATGATACCAAACGGTCCGGCTTCCGAGTTTACAGATCAGAGTTCAGAACACTTTCCCTCTGCTTCTCTAGGAATAGCTCGCTTATTGCCACAGTTGAGCATTTCCGGAGCGTATACTGGATACTGGATCCCTGCCTGCACAAACGCTGCCTTTCCCTCGCTCCGTCTGTAGTGAAAAAGAGAGGAAAAGATGGAGGCTGCTCTGGAATAATGTGTCAGGAGAAGGAGGGGAGGGGAAGGAAGAGAAGATGATAGTTGTGCTGATGTCTGGGAGAGGCTATAAACAGAAGTGAAAGTGTAAAGAGGAAGAAGTAGCTGAGATGAGGACGTTGCCTTGAGTTGAAGTTGCTGACGCTTGGAGAGGAAAAGGAGGCGGAGGAGGCGGAGGGGGGGAGGTTTGATGCGAGTCCCCATCCTTATACGGTCACATGCAGCCTTGGCATGGACACACAGAGCCCGGCCGGGGAAAACATGCTCATTTAGAGCTTACATAAACACACCGGCCCATAACCCTGCTCCCTCCACCTCCCTCCCAGCCTGGGCGAGGAAAAAAAGAGAGAGGAACGCTGTGGAATTTGAAAGGCAGCGCGTTTATAAATTCCTGAGCTTTTAGTGCAGAGACTTCCTGCACCTCCTGCGACGGGCAGAAATGCGACGCTGGCAGGTTGGAGTCCTCTCGGCCTGCAGGCGGACGGTTGGCTGGGCGGGACACTTTGGGACAAGTGCATAAAGGATCACACACCGTGAGAATCCCGGAGTTTGTATGTCGTGGACCTGCCTCAGCTCGCCACTCCATTTTCAAACCAAGTCAGTCCATGTGTCCGTAGTTTTTGGACTATTGAGCACACCTGAATATAAGCCGCACCCATGAACTTTAAAAAGAAAACAAGTTTTGTACATATACAGGCCGCACTTGTCTGTAAGCTGCAGGTGTCCGCGTTGTAACAGGAGATATTTACACTGGAAGATTTTTTTTAACTTAACGGTAACGTACACAAATAGGTACCGTAAATGATTTTTTCCAGTCCCTGTAGCACGGCTGGTTAAACAAATAAAAAATACAGTATCTTACCAGGAAAAGTCATTGATCGCTATCTTCATCTTCCTCCTGAAAACCACTAAAGTCGTCTTCTTCAGTGTCAGAGTTGAACAGCCTCAGAATGACTTGGTCACACACTTCCTCAGTCTCTCTTTCGTTGTCGCTCTCAATGTCACTTTGGTCTCGAGGCAAATTCATAAAAATTATTACATATATTAGCTGTGTCATTGTTCAAAGCGTGTGAAAAAAGTAGCGACTTGCAGCCTGGAAATGACGGTACTTCTGTGAGAAATAATCCATGTGAGCCATGAAGTTAATAAAAAAAAGTAATTAGCCTCCATCTCCTGATTATTTGTCCAAACCACGAGTGGATTATATAAATTACCGTAACTTCCAGACTATAAGCCGCGAGTTTTTTCACACGCTTTGAACACTGTGGCTTAAACAATGATGCGGCTAATTAATGGATTTTTACAAGTATTTGTGTATGTTACCGCTACGTATTCAACTAAAAGTTTAAAAAATTCTTTCTGTGTAAATATCTCATGTTACAACGTGGACACCTGCAGCTTATAGACAAGTGCCGCCTGTATATGTACAAAACTTTTCTTTTTAAAGTTACTGGTTGCGGCTTATATTCGGGTGCGCTCAATAGTCCGGAATTGATGGTATATTGATGACTCCCACTAGCTTTGAGCAGACAGGTGTCAGTCCAGTTCAAACAGTCATAAAATGAATGTGTCTTGTGTTTGTGACCCAGGGGACAACTATGACGTGTGCGCCATATGCCTGGACGAGTATGAAGACGGAGACAAACTCCGAGTCCTACCATGTTCTCACGGTGAGTCTTAACACTTCTGCACCACAAACAAAATTACCCCTTTCCACACAAAAGAACCACAGGTCAATCTTTGGGAATTATTTTTATTTGTATTTTTTTTAACATTATTTTGTTTCATAGATAACTCAGAGCCAGTATTCTGCTGTTTTTGTACTTTAATCTTTGCTTTGAATTACAACACATTCGGAAATGAATGTCAAAAGCTGGAGCGCAGTAGATGATTAATACCATTTTATACTTTATTTGCACATTATTTTCTCTGCTTTGGGCTACAAAATGTCAGAAAATAAGTTGTAATGTCCATCACGCCACATGAAACTACAACAAGGGCCTTAAAATATTTGTTTTCTTTCTGAAAGCTGAAAACCAAAAGATATCAAATCACATCAAACTAAGGCCCCGTTTAGCGAAAACGGTGACATTTCAATGCGTTTGGATCTTTGGTTTACACGTAAACGAAGTGGAGACTTGGAAAAACTCTGTCTTTACGTTTATGTGTAGACGGGAGGAGGCAGAGTTTGGCGTCACAGTGTGCGACAAAAGCACCATATGTGTGCGACCCAAGTTTAGTGTCAATATGTCAATATGTCCATGTACTTGGACTGACATGTTTACAGTCAATATTTTCAAGTGTTTTACTTGTTTTGTTCTCTAACACCACATTCGGGAGCAGCTCCACTTCTCTGTCGGTCCAAACAAACAACCCTCGCGCCATTATCGTTGAACTAACAGGAAGTTTTCATTGTTGTGTTTTTTCCAGGATTCTGATTGGCTAGCATGGCTTTATGCTTCTCTTTACACTGCCCCCTATAGGTTTGGCAGCTCATAGCAGCTCTTAACATCACGTCTATGCGCGTTTGGAGTTTTTTTTAAAAACGATCTGGTGTGAACAATGTATTTTTGAAAATGTAGATCCGTTTTAGTAAATACCCGTCTATGTGTAAACGTGGCCTAAGTAACGTAGCAAAGCCTCACCAGCTGAAAGCAGGGACTGTTTCTCTGTGAAGCAACTCATCGATGGAGCTCTAATTACTGGGAGTGTGTGTGATTCTGGATCTGAATGGATTTTCTGATTACGGGGGGGAACGCTTGAGATAAAACAGGATGTGTTTGTCGTCCTCAGCCTACCACACCAAGTGCGTGGACCCCTGGCTGACCAAATCTAAGAAGACGTGTCCGGTGTGCAAGCAGAAGGTGGTCCCCTCGCAGGGCGACTCCGACTCCGACTCGGAGGAGGGCGACAGCGGCCCCGACGAGAACGAGGAGGTGTCGGAGAGCACCCCGCTGCTGCGCTCCCTGGCCTCCACCAGCGCCCACTCCTTCGGCAGCATGTCTGGTTTGTCGCGCTCGGAGCAGGACCAGGACTCCTTCGAGTACGAGGACAGCAGCGACAGCGAGGAGGAGGTCACCGTGGAGACTGTGGTGGTGCAGATGCAGCAGCCGTGCTCCGAGGGCCACGAGCATGACCTGCCCCGAGCTTGACCGACACGTCGGCCGAGCCCGTCGGGTCGCTGAATCCCCGCCTCCCCCCAACCTCACGGCTGCAGAGACTTTTGTTGGGGGGCACAAAACAGATTCATCCTCCCGGTTCTTCTATCACTGCTTACAGCGCATTGTAATCTTATCCTCCCTTGCAAGTTCAAATAAAAATCTCTGTTTTGTTTAAAACATGATTTTGGATAACAAGTATGACTGGACATCGGTCAGCAGATTGGACAGGCCTGATGATGTACAGTAGACGGCTATACTGTACCCTATTTAGTCCTAAAATAAAACGATTCAAGTGTGTGTCTTCGGTCCAGAAGTCTCAGACACACGATCACACTTGACACAGTAAAAGTATAAATCACAATGAATGACGTCTTTTGATTATCTCCTCTCCTTCATGTACATACATTATTGTACATACACTTTCATGCTACATTGACACAACTTGAACCACTATGCAGCGTCCTTTCTTTTGTTTTGTTTTTTTTCGTTGTTGTAAAAAATTAACATTAAACAAGTATGGAAACATTTAAAGCCACAGCAATATGGTTCTGCCAATTTATCTCTAACCTGATTGTTTGAAGGAGCCTCGGTACTCCTGCGTTCTGTGCCACAGTTTATCTGTTACAGTGATCGCGAGAAAATGAAGCCAAACCGGTTTGAGCTACAGAGAAAATAATGTGCTCTCTATGTGGTGTCATGTAAAGCTGTGGGTTTCACTAGTTCAAAGCGTGGAAAGACACTCCAGTGAAAACTGTGTCCACACTGCCTGTGGTTAAAAAAAAAAAAAAAACTTCTTTTGGCTGCTCCAGACCCGTCACTTCATTTAACACAAGCAGTTACTGGTCCATAGGCCTTGTAATACACATTTAACTGACCTGATCTCATTTTAATACTGTTTATAGTAAATATGCTTACGTTTTTGTTTGTTTTTTTTGGTCATAACATGGCTTGATTTCTTTGTTGACGAATCCTGTTGCCTTCTCGGTTTATGTATTTTTGTCTTGTCAGTGTTTTCCTGCTCATGTATGTCTGTTCTCAGTATGAAGTCACTTCAATAAAACGAAAATGACACTTGACAAGGAAGCTTTTCGCTGTCAATGACTGTAAACATCCCATAGCTTTGAGACGGTTTTTGCTGCAGTGGGTTCAGTTACGGTTAATGGAGGGGAAAAAAAACACAGCAACTCCACAGATTTGTCACGTCTAATACGCCACTGACCTTATTATCTGATACGAATCAGCTCGTCTGAGTCCAGCACGGCTCATTAGGACAGCGGAAGTTAGGGACCTCTGCACTCTCGTCAATTCTCAGTAACTTCTCAGGTAATGGGTGTAATTTTACTAGATTAGTGTTTTCTGGGGCGACCCAGACTCTGAACCTCAACATCCCATTCATGCTTCGCTGAGGATGGAAGTCGTTCTCCAACTCCGTCTTCCTCATTTCCTGTCAATTAACCACATAAGGCGATAAAAAAAAAGGGGGATTTCTCTGTTGTGCTTGCATGTTCTTTCCGGGTTCTCTGGCCTCCTCCCACAAGGTCCAAACACATGTTGAGGTTAATTGGTGATTCTAGAGTCCAGGCCCCCACGACCCTAGTAAGGATTAAGCAGTGTTTAGATAATGGATGGATTTCTCTGTTGCCTAATGTTTCATTTCCCAACATGAAACCAAAATGCAATCTTCATATCGTTATTTTTTTGCCCCCTGAGCCCTTTACGGACTAGTGGTTTTAAACTTTTTACTCTTGATATGATCAACAGCTTCCAAAGAGCGACTGTACAGACCTTGAAGTGCCTCGTCACATTTCAGTGACCCTTTATCTCAAATAGTGAAATTACAATTTTCCATCTGTATCTATAACTGGCCAAACACCCTGTACTAATGAAGCTCATGTGATAATTAAGCAGTGACCAAAAAAATGACCTGGAAGTGAGACCGTCATCCGTTTCTGAGGTGTAACATTAAAACTGTTCTTTTAGACTCAGTGCAAACGATGGAGGTAAAACAGCTGTGGCAGAAATACCTACTAATGGCTCAGTTTGTCTCGACTTCTCCGGAAGCAGCAGTAGTGAGTAGCTGGACAACAGCATTCTACAAAGTCCAAAAGCTCTACCGATCCTGATTTCAGAGACTTGGTTCCAAAAACAAATGACTCCAATTCATAACAGTCTTGAATTTCAGTAACTCCCTTCATAAAGGAGAGCTGCTCTTCAGTGGACTAGCTGTTGTTGCTTCTTATTGAATGGACAGTCATTGGATCTTTTCATCTAAGTTTGAAGCAAGAAAGCCAAAATGCACATCTCCCCAAACTGCTCCTTTAAAAGAGAAACATTCAGATGGAAAACAAACAAAAGGACAGCAAACATGTATCTGGTTGGAATAAATTTATTTGATCTGTCTGTAAACAAGGTGATAAATCAATTTATGGCATTTCTTGGTTTTATGCATATGAAATCAGATGCATTAAAGAGACTGTATCCCAGATGTAAGAAAAATAAAGTGGTGAGGAAAAGAAATGAACAAATCGGCAAACAGGACTTGAAACTTTTTTTCTCTTTTTTTTGTGAGTACACGCGTATCCCACAAGGCCTAAACAGTGGATCTGAAGCTAAAAAAAAAAAATTAAAGAAAAAGTGCCAATGAAATGACTCCGTAGTGGACAGTGGGTAAAATCCATCTTACAACAGCAACAGATCTCTCTACATTATGGCACAGGATACACAGGTTCTGCAGTTAAGTTTCGACATGACAACCATTAGCGTCTTTGTTCCAACTAATCCCATCTCCCATTGAGTGTCATTTCTACCTTTACAAGTGTTTTGTTTTTTTTGTCGTTTTTCCTCAGTTGGACGTTACAGATAGCAGTAATGAGCGTGGACAGACCATGTGATACCCCAGAGCTCAGTTGACTATAGAGTAGAAGGCAATTTATTCCACAGTTATATTGTCAACACAGCATGGGTTTGTACAAATGCAGTCGTTTGTGTTTCTAAATAGTAAAGAAAAAAAAAAAAAAAAAAAAAAACAACAACTATGACATGAGAATTTCCTTCAGATGCTCCCACCCTTACCTCCCCTGTAGTTTCATTTTTGTTTTTTTAACCATAGTGTTACTGTCTGGTTAGAGATTCTTTCATCAGAAAAAGTTAGCAGTCATCCTTAGCATGATTTAGAGCAATTGTATAAACACCCGAGCTTCAACTACACTTGGTCCTATAAAAAGAAAAAGAAAAAAAAAAAATCAAACTGGACACACTCCATATGGTTATATGCTGGGATATCTACTGTCCAAAAATGGCAGCCTTTCAAAAACAAAATTAAAAAGAAAAAAAAAAAAACATTACAGGAGCTGGCAAACAAAACAGTATTAAGTGCCTGAGCCATTGTTACTGTGGAATGTCCATGGATTCTCATGTAGTCGGGGAGGCTGTGATGCCGGGAGGAGAGGCAACCAGCATCTGGGTGACACCAACGCTTGCAAAGTTGGGTCATGATAGCTAACTGAGCTGATCCCACACACACACACACACACACAGAACCACCCTCCCCCCTTTGTAGAACTTATTCAGGACAGAGCAGTGTGAATGTGACAGGAGAGGAGTTAGGTGGTGAGTAGTGTTTGATGAAGTGAGTCTCCTGTGAGGTTTGTAATGTTGCCTGATATAAGAAAACAGGATGGGGAAACAGGGAGAGGGGAGGAACTCAACATTTTTGGCAAAAGGGAGCCTGGAAGAGGGGAGGAGGGGGTAGGGGGGTGGGTGGCCGTGGGTTTGAGAGGGGAAATGACAGTGGTCCGAGATATGCGCACAGTCTCCCCTCCCGGACATGGAGGAAATGAAAGAGGAAGACATGACGAGCTTGGTTACTGCTCAAGTGCTCCAAAGGCATCGGCTACTCTGGGAGGGAGTGTGTGTGATCAGGTTTGGGAGGGATTAAGTGATGGGCACCGTGACACAGACAAAAGAAAGGAATATCTACTTCAAATTGATGCTATAGCTTCCATTGTCAGAGTGTTTTTTTTTTTTTTTTTTTTTTTGCTGGTCTTGGTTAAGTACAGATTTGTCATGACATCCTGTTAGCAACATGCTTATCTTTGCTATGAATCAACTTAAGAGTGCTTAAAGGGGTACAGGGGTACATAGCTCAAGTGTGTTGAGGGAAGAGGATGGGGTAGGGAAAGAGGACAACAGAAAGAGGGATAACAGATGAGGGATAAAGAAGGCAGAAAAAGAAAATGTAACTACCAACTAGGACTGAAAGTAGAGTGAAATGCAACAGGGTGGTAAAGGTGAGCTGCTAGGAGCTGGGTACAGGCTGCTTTAGTATCCGGCCTTCCTCAGGTATTCAACCATCTGAAAAGATTTCTTGTTGAGCTGCCCTCCATGGACACCTTCCTTCCCCATGATAATAACCAATGCTGGAGTGCACAAAAGGGAAAAAAAAACAATATAAATGAACAAGCATGATGACAGCAGGGCTGGTAAAACACTTTTATTCCCACCGCAGCTAAATATGGGCTACATTGATGGGACAGAGCCTGAACCCTGCACTGTGTTAGAACTGCTCCTGGGATTTTTTATTTCGTTTAACGGGACTGTTCGGGGGAGGGGAGGGGGATCATGGCCTTGACAGTAATTAGTTTTTTTTGTCCGTTTTTTATCAAGTTTTGTGTTTTTTGTTTTCGTTTTCATTTGTTTTTTCTCTCCCTCAACGACACCACGTAAGCTACGTCAAAACTAAACTAAAACCCTGAATCCCTCAAGTATTTTGCCATCGAGTACGCCTTCTTATTCAATCCGCCTCCATGGACCCCTTCTTTGCCCATTACCAAGACCAAGACTGAAAGAAAAGAGACAGAGAAGGAACATTTAGAGAAGGTGCAGAGATCACAAGTGAAAAGAGAAGAGCACAGAGCCAAAACCAGCAAGCAGACGAGACAGCTACAAAAGGAGGACAACGGCACAAAAAGCAGAAACAGTGCCTTTGGTTTGGATGCTGTATAAAGTCTAAACACTGATTTTCTTATCAGTGCTGCTGGTGGCGGTGAAGGAACATGTGACACGTTACAATTAGGAAGACAGTGTAACAGGAGCATAAATGTAAAGAACACATGCAAAGCTGTTTGTCAGTCTGATGCCCAAAACAAGCAGCAGCAGCACAGAGCTGGAGTTTGTGTTGACTGCACTATAAAATCTATAAACTTCCACAGAGACTGGACACACAGTTGATCATTTAGACTAACAACTATGACAGGAAGTGTTCTCCCAGAATGCTCTGGCCCAACAGTCAGGCTCACCACTGAACGGGAGCTAAATCAAAGTCATTGTTTGTCCAGATCCAGGCCTCAGGGGGTTGTGCCACACTTAGCAAAAGATTAAGTTAAAAAACAGCTAATGTGCACCCCAATACTTTGAAACACTCCCAAATCCACCTTGAAGCTACAAGTGGATCAAAGGTAATTATGCAGTTCACCATTTGTATTCATCCCCATTAAACCCAACATATACACTGGAGTGAGACAATATATATATATTAAAATGTCTTTAAAAAGATAACAAAAAACCCCACAACACTGATGTTTAAATTTGTGCAACACTCCTGATGGCAGGGGTGTCACAGCCCGGTTAGCCGATTATCTGACTGTAGGTTGTTTTAGTTTACAAGTTTAAATGGTAGAGCAGTCTCTGTGCCCATTTCAGTTACATTAGTAAAACATCTAAACAATATCTGCGGTTTGTCCAAGTGGCCAGTGGACTAGAACAAGAAATAAATCAAAAGAACAGCCCAGTGTTCATGTATGTTTCTGCTCCTATCAGACTTGACTGCATTCCATCCATAGAACCTAGTCTTTGTTTAATCTGTAAATATGCACCAAGCCAGCAGCAAAGAATAAGAAAGCGAAGCTTCTGACTAAGACAACACTAAAGCAGCACACATGCAGCAGCATGCTTGGAGTACCTCTCCTCAATACATGTAAGAACCCTAATGCGCCGGAATATGTATTTTACCAGAACATAGTGAAAGCATGTGAGCAGGGAAACAGATTCATACTTTGAAGGTAAGGGGTGTGTTAACCAGGAAGGAGAAAGATACATGCAGTTCACAAAGGTTTTAGGAAATCCAGGCCCAGAGGGTGTGCACAAGTGCGTGGAAAACAAGAACCCGTCTGATACAGTCTCACCTGTAAGCTTTAGTAGCTTCTGGGACGTGGGGAGGACAGGGCATCGGGGCCCATACAGGCAACATGAAAATTGACAACTCTCTGGCAAGTATCCCAAAAGGAATAACTTCAATCTCCTAATGTAATATCCATTTGATCCAGTATCAGAGAAACAAAATCATCAAGGCCAATTTACAGGACTGTTGAATCTCTACACACTTCACAATCATATAGTCAGTAGCATTTAAAACAGTTAACTTTGAAATGTGTAGGCTGCTGTGGTTATCATTTTTAGACGCATTTATAATTTATGTAACAAACCTGAATTAAAGTCAACATGGAATCTCTATTACCCTATTATTTCACAGATTTGCTTTGAATACTTTATTTTAAAAGTAATCTCTAGATGGGTAGTTGACGATCAAGCAATGTTTCAGGTATGCAATGGACAAGACAATGTGCCAGCTGTGTGTGTTCTCAGTGACGGGCTTTTAGCTTGTGAAAGCTACAACCAACACATACTACTTCAACTTGACTAAATGACATTGATGTTGGAGTTTAGAGCTGAACGGTAACTTAATATGGATTAGAATTTCATCAACTTTAAAACTGTAATACCATTTTCTAAAAGTAAACACAATGCAATACATGTTTAAACTGATAATAAACTGTTAACACGTGGCAGTTGTGAGTAAATCAGAGAAGGGACACATAATACTTATGGATTTGAGCAAAGGCTGAACCAGAATAAACATCAAATCTTTCTAGAAAATGTAAGACACTAAAGAGAGGAAATTGACAAGACTTTTAAAAATATATAGATTTGTTCATCTGTAAATGGTCTTCTTTACCAATGCTAACAAAATGTAAATCACTCACAACTTACGCTATTGGCATGGAAGACAGTTTTAAAAAATCCCTTTACCCAGGGGTCCATTGAACCTCTTGACATGAACTTGCTGTTAAGCAACCTGAACAAGTATTTCTATAGTTTTCTGATCCATCACAATCAGCTGACACAGAAAGACAATATCCAATTTACAAACACTGTACACCTGTCTGTCATATATTGAGGAAAGGTGCATTCATACATCTATCCCACATGCAAACACAACACAGAAGTTATAAGAGTAGCTAAACTAATGGCACTACATCAAAGCAGGCTACTGTTCAACTACTAAAATGTGTGCTGCAAACACTGAGTGTGGCGCTCACCTTTGGCTGCTCTGCCTACAGCAACGTTATATGTTGGCTCTCCTCCTTGACTCTTTGTCCTGATGTCCATTGTCCAGTCACTGTCAATTTGGAGGCTGTCTCTGATTACAGAGCACTTCTTATTGCCTAGGGTCAGGCCACAGGTGAAGAAACCCTCTCGGTCCTTTCCTGTTACTACATCAATTTCGTCAGGCTGGTAGAAAGCAAAAAAAAGGACAAAAAAACAAGTTAGGTCCATGCGTCTTACTAGATGAAGAATATACCATCTGTTCAGATATAAGATGCTGTGTTTTCTTTTCTTCCTTAGGTTTTCACCCTTGTTCTCAAACCTAAGTCAAACTTATTGCTGCATGCTGTTGGTGCTTGAAAGCATTGAGACTGATTAAGTGCAATACAAATGACCAATTTAATTCCTTTACCTCTCCTTCTAAGCTCCAAATTTAATCTCTGTCAACAATAAAAATCTCATAATGCCTTTAAAAAGTATTGCCAACATTTTGCACCATTCATTGAGCAACAACAAATGTAAAATAATTTACTTAAAATATTTTTTTTTTACAATATTTTCAGTTAAAAAAAAAAAAAAAAGTCCACTAAAACCCCTGAATATTCTATTTGTCGTACTTAGGCATGTATTTTGGCAATTGAGGATGTGTAGTTTGTTCTGCCATGGCACTTGTTTACAGTCTACATTAGTGCAGTAGCCACTGGGACATGTCTAAAATGTACACTCAGCAGGTAGCACACAATATAAATGAGTGTGAGACTGAATAAAACTCAAACCAATTACAATACCTACACAAAACCCTAAAGTCACATTCTTAAAGTGAAATTAATACATTTGTACACATCAATTATCCAAGAAAGCACTTCATTTGACTGCTGTGCAAGTGGCCATGATCATAAGTACAGGTATGATGAATTGTGAACAAGTATGGAGGCAATGTTTATGATTAAGAACTAAAGGTTTTAACAAAAATATTTAACTTACTGGCCAATACATGAGGCTTTACATTATCTCTTCATTTACCAAACTTCTCCAATTCAACAGCATTGCGAAAGCCAGATTATGCTTTATCCAAGTTGAGACATACCGTTATCTGGAGTGTTATTACGGTCTTAGAATCAGGCCAAACTTGAAAAGTTAAACCTCTTTTTTTTCTTCTTCTTTTGGTCAGCTGAACACAGAAGGCTGTAGTTGTCTTAGGTACTGAGAAAGCATATTGGCCCATGCCTAGATGAAAGCGCACAGTGTGTTTAAAGACACAGCTGTCTCCATTATACCATCAGTGACCAGCCCTGAGAGCTCAGCGGCCGACTGCAGCCTGAGATATGATAGAAAGGGGTGAATGCTGCTAAAACTCCACTTTATGATTACGGCCGGTTATCCGGTGCATTTCACCGCATTGTCGTTATTAATGGTTAGGTTTATTAAAGCGGGTCTATGTGGATCCGTCTGTAGAACAAAAGGCGTCGCCCCTCAACTCCAGAAATGCAGAGTCATGGCACACACGAAAGCCTCCAGGAAGGAAAAACGACCAACTCAACGGATTTCCACTGGCTAGGCTAGCGTTAGCATGGCGGCTAGCTACATGCTCGGGACCGTTAGCTGGTTAATTGCACCAACAGTTGTTTCCCGCTGGGAATCCAATTCTCCATATATCCTCCGTTAACTTGCCGCATTTAGCTGAGAGGCGACGCCGTTTGCCCAATTTAATCAAGACTGAACAAAAGAGGCCTAGCTGACCCTGGTAGCAGACAATCGGCACAGAATTCACACAGACCTTTTCACACTGACAAGAAAACACGCTAAAGTCCGTTGATAGGAGGCTTCAAAAAGAAAGCGCTAGCTTGGCCCGCATGGACCCTCCCCGGTAAACTCAGCTAACAGCGGCTTGCTCGTTCACAGTTCACCGTCTATAGCATGGCTGGATCATTTCGGAACCGTAGCCAACGGCCCGTTAAATCGACTCGAGTTTTGTTACATTCACATCCCGACGCATGCATCCTCCTTCACACAAATATTTAAATTACTGGCTGATAATTTATTTAACAGACAAAATGGAGGCTCGGGGAAACGCTGGAGACGATTGTTTAGCCAGTTAAATTTAGATAGATGCGGCAGTCAGTCAAATTATATCAGTGGCAAAATGAAAACTTAAAATATGTGCAGTGTACAACACGGGCCCACTGAAATAAACGTTAATCGAGGCGAAATGTCTCGAGTTGCTTCCACGAACAAAATGAATAAGAAACTGGGAGTGTATATCCGCCATCTTGGAAAACAAGGGGCGGTAGCGGCAGTGTGATTCACAGAAGCCGAAAAGGAAAAACCAAAAAGACTAACGACACGCCAGCACGTCAGGGAGGCGTGCGAGCACCGTTAACTTAGCGTTTTCAGCGTTAAATAATGATTTTCCAATGAGAATGACCGGCCTGATTTGAGCTAACCGCCGCCGTAGTTTGCTAATCGACGTTAACATTAAGTTAAGACTGGTCGGAAATAATGCTAGTAGGCTGCAGTTTGTGAAGCACAAACTCTAAATTCATGATGAAGTATTTAACCTGGATTCAGAATAAAAATCTTGAAACCGGTAAAGGATTTTACGATATGATTGTCTTATCTAACCGGTAACACAAGCGCGCAAGGCTGGTTGCCGCTAGCTAGCTCATAGCGTGGCTAAGCTAGCACCCTTTAGCGCCGTACCGTTATTTGCTAGCTCACAGTAACTCTCCGGTTACTGTGGCGGCTATATCTTTAAAAAAAATGTTAACTGGAGTCAGAGTGTGGAAAATATTTTTTTTTTTTTAAATGCTGACTAAAGTTATAAAGCAAGGGCGCATACGAGCCAATGCATCTTGACCACCGGATACCATGTGTACCACACTCCTCGCGTCATTCAACAAGGCCTGGCTATACAGAGAAACGCAGAGGCATGAAAAAAAATGCATGTTCGTCCTACAAAACTTTAGATACTGGCACACAGAGCGTACTAACCGTTATGTTGGCAAAGGTACCGCCGGCATGCGATGCCCAGACGTATTTGGCGTCCGTGTACCCAACAATGGCCGCGTCCTGGCAGCTGCCATCAGCCATTAGGTTGTCCACGTAGCTTTGCCAGGACATGTTTGTGAAATTAGTTCTAAGATGAAAAAAAGTACGTTGGTTGAAGCTAAGTCACAATCGTCTCTTGAACGACGAAGAAACTACAAAAAGCTGTTTTTGTCGGTGGTTTAGCGGGCCTCCAGCAAGCAAACCCCCTCCGGCTCCGTCACGTCCCGGCTTTCTTCTGGTCTCGGCAACGAAGAGAAGCCGCTGCAATCGGGCAGGCGCTTGGGTGTAGTCCTCACTAAATCACTCCGCCTGGGTCGTTGTTCGCCTTGCTGTCTCATTGCATAATATACTACGCGGCGGAGGAATATCGTGGTTGATCGCGACGGCAAAGAACAAGTGCCTATTTTTTTTCTCCAGTGCATCAAAGATTCTTCCAGTCTTGATGTTTTGTGTGGATTTTGAAGGCTGGGTTAAACCAAATAAAATGCACGTTTACATAGTTTTTTAATTCGCAAAGCAGAATAGTCATGGTTTATGAAAATCTGAAATTTAACTTTCAGCAACACCCTGGTGAAAACATATTGTTATACAGCATGTAAAATAGTTTTGAATACACAATTAACAATAGTTGTTTTGTTTTTTTTCACTATGTGGATCACCTAAGTAGGATTATCTTCAGCTTCTTTCGTTAAACACTAACTCACTGGGCTTTGGCAATGTCTTCCTATCACAGTGCATTATTTAGTTCTAAATATAGTTCAAATTCTTTATGGGCACAGTAGCCACTGCATTCATTAAGGTCACCATGACGTGGGGTCAGAGGTCACAAGGCTATCACAGATTAAAGCACAGAGAGGTAACAGCACACATTTCGTGCTATTCTTTGCAAGTGTGGATCTCCAACATCGCTGAGCCTGCTGTAACATAAGCTTTCACTTCTGCAGTATTTTATGATCCTAAAAGAAGAGGGGTGACACTGTCAGGGGCAAAAAAGCTGTTATTTCCATATATGTGTGCATGTTTACATCCTAAGCATAACTTTTACTCTGGAATGTCTTTGAGTGACTACACAGCAGGGATGTACTGCAGCTTATTTACATTTTTGAGGGTTAGAGTTAGTCGTCTGAGGTACTTCTCTGTAATGTCGACTCAAGCATTAGCAAGTTGGTGAATAATAATCGCTGGATTTGTGTGTGTGTATATATATAGATGAACAGGGTTCTTAAAGAGGAAAGTTATGTTTTCGTAAGGTGTATTTGGTAGTGTTTAGAATGGTATTGGACAGCCTAACTCAAGCAAACACTTCATTGTTTGATCGTCAAGTTTACACAAGTAGAAAACAAAGCTCAGAACACCACCTACAGTAATGCCGCTGAGACATGAAACGAGCGGTAAAAATATAAAACAATAAAACCATTAGCCAACAAAGAATAATAAAGATAAATAAATAACACAAGCATGGCCATGAGGATGCTATCAGCATCACATACTGTCTTATTGTCTACATTAAGGACAGGAAGTGCCTGAGAGATGATCACAGCAATTAAAGATGAGCCGGTTGAACCTCTAAAAGTACAGCGGTTTGCTCAAGGGCACCTGTGCAGGACACACATCTATTTAGGATTTCAGTTCTGAAGCCAGACCTGTGACTTTTACACTGCAATATCCAACCACCAGGCCATGTTGTACTGTATGTATCTGTGTTTGTGTTTGCTCCATGGAAACCATTAATCGGGTAACCACATGACTCTGTGATCTTACTGCTCAGTCTGCCTCTTCTTCTCTCCTCAGGGTGCATTATTTATCCATACTAGTTATATATCTGAAAACTTGCACTATTGCTCATATTCTGGTAACATGTTTGTGGTGTTTATCCAGGAAAGTTTTTCTCTTTTCTGAACAATGCACACTTTTCTGAACGATGCACACCTGTGGAGATATTTCTTTCAAGCAAGTTTATGAAAACAAAAACACTCCCTGCACCTTATCAGTGACAAATCAACTTTTGCTAAGTGACTTCCGCCACATGAATGAAGTGACACACGTTTAAAACACACATGCTCAGAGCCTCTCAGAGAGAAGGATCCAAACACTTGAAAAAGTGAACCCAAATCAATGTGTAGATTTTGGGAAGAAGCACACATCTAGTATTCTAACAAGGGGAGGAATATTTCAACTAAGATGAGAGGTGAAACAGCTGAACTTTACTGAACTGCTCTATGTTATTTATACATATATATATATATATTCATCTGTCTCTATTTGAAGCACTGTCGCATGTGACAGTCTTTATCTAGAAACTTCCACGGAATTCTTTTCTTCTCTCTTCTTCCAGGAGAATGAGTGCAGGAAAAGTTATTAATTGACCCGGCTTAAGGAAGTGAGCGGGACAGAAACGCGGGTCAATCAGGCAGCCACACCCTTGTCCTGTTCTCTGATTGGGTGCCGACAGTTTCCATGGCCACCTCTGTTCTGCACTTCTGCTTTGTCAAAATAGCAGCACACACAGCCAAACCACTCAGCCTGCACATGAGTCACGGAGATACAGAGGAGAGCTTACTTGTTTGCTTCAGAGAAAAGGCTTGGACAAGGCCATTAGCGCCGCTTATCATCATCTTAACAGCAGGAGAACACGTCAGCCTTATTTTTTTTTTTTGTTTGCAGATATATGTATTCCTTATTTTTTCCAGCAGAGCTTGAGTATTTAGCGATCAGTGTCTATAACAGTTTAAAAGATGTTTTGCTGCAGTTATTCGGTGCTGCACACACAAAAAAAAACCCAAACCAGCTGTACAGCGCATGCTCTGACTTCAACACTTGGCGCTGTGGCATCCTGGTCAGCAGGTAGATGCATATACCATGTGTTTGCAGCAGATTTACGGCTTTAAGTGACATGTTGCCATGAGATACGTAGCCCCCGTTTCACCGTCTGTCCTTCCTGTCTTCACTTCCAGATATTTTTAAAGAAGTGTTCAGACTGCAAGGAAGCAAAAGTTTTCAACAGCAGCAGTGTCATTATTTTTTGCACCGAAGCTGCTGACAGCTGGTATTGTTCGCCTTTATGGCCTGTGACCTGACAATACAAGAAAATACGTGCTCATGATCCTCTGTGACAGGCTGAATGTGCAGCGTGAGGAAGTACCGAAATAAAAAACAAAAGCAGGTCACAAAGCACATAAACTTGTTCTTCTGCTTTGTGTGGGGTTCACTGTGGATTAATACACATTTGCTGCTCCAGCCAGTATTAATGACTCAGTGTAGGACTGACTCAGATTAAACCGCAGTACTTTGTGAAATGCAATGAAGAAAAATGTGGCCCGGGGGCCCAATTACATGTAAAACAACGAAGATGTTTGACAAAAAAGCTTCATATACAGCTTTGGGTACATAAGCAACTTAATAAAACTTCACCATCACCAGACATATCTTTTGAAATGGTTTAAAATGCTCTGCTATTAGTAAAAAAAAATTTGCAAATAGAAGTGTTTAGGATTCTGTAAACTCTCACCCACAGTTTAATGTTGCTTCTTTGTCAATCAAGGAATCATTTTGACCTGCTTTTCTACCGTTACAGTGTTCATGTGTTCTTCCGGTTGAACCCTCATCATCTCTCTGGTGGTAACACACTCTCAACACACCTATCTTGGATGAGAATCAATCTGTGATGAGAAGAACAGCCTTTTATTCATAGTTAATCAATATTGCGCACAGAGAGTTTGAAGTTTCTCCTGAAATGACCAGCCTGCAGCCCTCAAGTATCTATGGCTCTGCAGATGGCTCTGCTTTGTCCTGCGTAGCCTGAACTGAACACAATCCAGGCCATTTTGTCACCACAATTGGACACAATTATTTATTCATGACCCTGGTTCATGCTTTGTCTTGCATAGCAGCAGGAAAAAAAAAAAATTCTTATTTTTAACTCGCACAGATGAAGGCTCTCGAAGGTCGATATGTCGGTGTATTTTTGATAAGACGTTACCACTAAAAAAGTCTGTTTTCTCACATTGCACATTATTATCAAATCATTCCACAATGTTGGAATACTGCAACGTTTAAAAACTGTGAAAACATCTGCAAATGTTGGTAAAATAATGATATTTATAGCTGGTTTAAGTAAAGTAGAAAGTGTCAAACATATTTGTAAAAATGTAGTTGCTTTTTTTTTTTTTACAGTCAACATGTAAATAAATACTTTTTTAAAAAATGTGATTTTATTTAATAATACATGTAATTTAACACAGGGAAAATAACAGTTACAAAAATTATTTTTTAGTCCTCAATATACAAATTTTTCTCTTTCAAATATTGCAAAATTAACAATCTTTTTTGTTGAATTAAATTTTGCAAAAAGTGTCTAATTTCATGTCAAACATTGTGAAAGAACAAAATATCATTTGTAACACTCTTTGGGATTTTGACCTGTTTATAGTTGTAGTTAACATGTAAATAGATGGGTTTTTTTCTATGATTTTTCTACATATTATAGATGCTTTTCATCTTTGTACATATTATTGGTGTTATTATTATTATGCATTTGTTTAGTGCTGGGGCTGCAAGGTGGATCGGTGGTTTGCATCGTTGCCTCGCAGCTAGAAGGTCGCTGATTCGCGCCCAGGTGAGGGAACCTGGGATCTTTCTGTGTGGAGTTTGCATGTTCTCCCCGTGCAGCGTGGGCTCTCTCCGGGTTCTCCGGCTTCCTCCCACACAGTCCAAAAACATGTTGAGGTTAATTGGTGATTCTAAATTGTCCGTAGGTGTGAATGTGAGTGTGCTTGGTTGTCTGTCTCTAAGTGTAGCCCTGTGATAGACTGGTGACCTGTCCAGGGTGTCCCCTGCCTTCACCCTGAGACGGCTGGGATAGACTCCAGCTCCCCATGACCCTAGTGAGGATTAAGAGGTGTATAGATGATGGATGGATGGATAGTGCTGCTGTGAAAGATGTTGCTGCTGTAACAATGGACGTTTCCCCTGGCGTGGAGAGTAATAAAGGATTATCTTATCTTTTGTTACCTTGTTATCTGTAATTTACCAACACAGGGAAAATCTGTAAAATGACAGTAAATTATTATAAGAAAAAAAATTAAGAACTGTTTGTTTTTGATTTTTTTTAAGAAAAGCTAAATTTTTACAGTGCAGTGTTATTTAAATTGACTTTACCTTTAATTCTTTAATTTGGCGGCGTGATTGTTGGTTTTATAAAACAAATCTCATCATAATGACCATGATTTATTTATTTATTTATTTTTTAAACTGAGCTTCTCATTGTCAT